TGTTGTGCAGATTATAACAGAAAATGAACCGGTGTGTAGAGCTGCAGGATTGTGTAGAGCTTCAACACCGCTTCTTCAAACCATAGCTATAAAACTTCTTGTTCAAGTATCATCCTCTTCGTGTTGTGAGAAAAATTAGAGCATATACTCATTTATTCAATCAATGAAGAGGAATAAAATAACTCCACAATGGGCTGAAGATTTAATTTATGTGCATACAAATCTTCGTCTTCTATCAAGGAAAACCTCATTTTAAATGACAAGTGATAACAAGATTTGGGATATTGTTGGAGATGAGTTCTAGTGCCTTGATGATATAGGGTTATTGGAGGTTGCAAATCTTTTTATAGATGAACCAGAGTTGGAAGCAATGATATTCAATGATGATGATATTGAAGGCTAAAGACCAACCTCTGAATCTAATTCTATCATTCCCTCTATTAAGTAGTTGGACCTTCATGTTGTACTAAATGGTTTTTTGCTTATATTTTTGTGGTTGTACTCGATATTTTTGTTCTAAACATCTTTATGTTATAAGCTAAACAAGTTATTATGACTTTGATTTATTATTCTTTGCCATTTTTAATATAATATTATCTTAATTTTTATATATTATATTTAAAAATTATTATGACGTGTCCACGCCGCACCCACGTCCTATATTTTTAAAAAATGTTGTCCTGTGTCCGTGTCGTGTCCATGTCGTTGTGTCTGTGTCGGTGCATCATATCCTCACTCTCTCCCTCACACTCTAAAACCTGAACACCTCTCTTCAGTCTCCCCATCCTCACTAGCATCGCAAACACATGTTGATGCCAACAACTACTTGTAGACTCTTACGTTCCTCTTTCCCGAGTAGTGATCTCTGCTTATATAACTACAGACAATCTTTGACCAATTCCTCATTCAACACCTCGCTTATATAACTACAGACAATCTTTGACCAATTCCTTTCTATCATGCTCATGACCTAATGCAATCACGCAATCCCGTTAAATGCTAATTCCCTTTCTATTGTTCCACCACTCATGGAAGCCTACATTATGCCTCATATTCTTCCTCCAATTTCTCTCCCACTCCCTCACATCTCGTCTCCTATCAAAGCCCACAACCGCTGAGTTTTCTTCCATAAACCCACTCAACACACCTCCGCAAACCAATCAATAGCAACCTAGCATTATCAACTTCACATCTCTAGGAACATAATTTGGATTTGTACGCCTGGAATAGACTTGCGCAAACCTTTTGTTATACATAAAAACTTTGTCATCAGTTTCCCTTGCTTTGATTTTAGGTTTAGGTTGATTGGTTTAAGATGGAGCTAAAAGGTCAAGAGAGGCAAACTCATTTTCCTCATTTTTTTCAATTTTAGTCTCCCCTAGAAGATGAGATTTGGTGAAATACTATTTTTGTTCATCAAAGATAACGTTAATAAATACAAGAGTTTTCTTGGTGGATGGATGAAAACACTTATAACTTTATGGGTGGATGAATATCCAACAAAGATCCATTTGAGTGCTCTTAGATATATTTTTCTTCTATTTTGGCAGTGAATGTTAGCATAGACAGTGCACCCAAAAATTATGGGTGCAAGGTTATTATGGGTTTAGAATTCGGAGTAAAAAAAGAAATATCCATTGGTGTTTTTAGTCCCAAGATGTTTGAAGGTAGTTGGTTTATGAAACATGTGATACTTGGAAGGGATTCCCTCCCGTAGGATTTAGGTACATTGTGATGGAATAGGAATGCATGTGTGTAGGCTAAAAGGTGACCTTTTTTATTTCTACAACCTCTTTTTGTTGTAGGTTGTGAATGCAAGAAGGCTCATGAATGATGCATTCTTTTTTAAAGTAGGAGGATATGGTTTGGTTAAAGTAATCTTTAGCATTATCTGAACAAAAATTCCTAATTTTTATTCTGAGTTGGTTCTGGAACATGGTATGAAAAATGGGAAGGATAGTACTAATATCAATTTTATTTTTAAGAAAGATCCAAAAGACTCGAGTGTAGACATTAATGAAAGATATAAAGCATCGAACCCTTGAGATGTTAGGGATTTTTAAAGGCCCCAGATATCACTATGAATAAGGTAAAATGGAGTATTACATCTCTCATGTTTGTTTGGAAAAGAAACTAGTTTATACTTGGCTAACTTAGGTTTTACAATGAAAAGATTTATTTTTTAACTTATTAAAAAATTTTGAGTACATATTTCTTAAGATATCAAAATATTGATATCCTAATATAAAATAGTGAAGTGAAATAATAGATTTGTTATCAAATAGGGATAACATAGAATAGGCATTATTAATAACATTAAATTTGTTTAGCTCTTCCAGATAGTACAATCCATCTTTCTCTTTAACAAGTTCAATCTTCTTCCCAGATCTCTGGTTCTGAAATAAGCAACAAGTAGGGTTAAATAAGACTTGACAATTATGATCATTGATAAGTTTTGTATGGAGATTAGGTTTGTGGATAATTGAGGTACACAGCACATTTTTCAGAGTGAGAGAGGGAGATAAGTGTATGTTGGCCTGCTATTGTGATAAGAGAACCCTCAGCATTTATGCTTTTCTTATCACTTGGGCAAGGAGTATGATTGATGAAGTAGGCAGTAGAGTGTGTCGTGTGATATGTGGCTCCTGAGTCAATGAACCATAATCTTTTCAAATGATTTCTAGAAGCACTTAATCCAATAAATATAGAAAACTTACCTAAAAGTGCAAGAGAAGATGCAGGTGATTTTTCATAGGATACCAAGAGTTGTTTTAATTTATAAATGTTTTTTTTATTGAGCTCTCTTAAGATGGACTATGTATTTGGGTTGGGCTAACTTATAGTGTTGGCTTATGATGTGCTCTTTTATCTACTTCTTTGATGTCACTCCTTACTTGGGAGCTTTTCTTATATCTTCCAGCATGTCTCTTTGTGTGCCTAGATTTCTTGTAACAGCTGCACCAAAGGGAGTCTTTATCTTTAGATTTTAAGAAATCCTTATATTTTTCCTTCCATGATGCCTCTTTGGTTGACATTATTCTTGAACCTTCAACTACCTTTAGCTCTAGCATTATCCCTAGTCGGCTTTCCTCAACACGAATGAGAGAAATCGTCTCGTTTAATGAAGGTGACTCCTCTTTGCCAAAGATCTGAACTCTTACCTAATCAAACTCCGCATTTAATCTTGCAAGAAAGTCATACGCTCTATCTTTCTCAATAAAAATTTTCAGGATAGCTTCTAGACACTTAGTCTCTATGCATTTGTAGCAATCAAGTTCTTCCCACAAGCTTTAAAGAAGAGTGGCACATTCAGTCACAATCTTTCTTCCTTATTTTGTGCCCTTGACTTTAATTTCGAAGGTATGTGCAGCATCACGAGCTTTTGAGAAGATTTGTCTGGCAGCATCCTATATATCTTTTGAAGTATATAGGAACATGAAAGTATCATTAATTTATGGAGTCATGGAATTCAACAATCATGACATGATCATGAGTCTACTTCATCACATGTCCAAAAATTAGGATCTTCTTCTTTTATTCCTACCCCAAGGAGGCATCTTTCCTTTCACTTTCAAGTAGGACTTCACATATTGAGACCACTCCAAGTAATTCTTCCCATTTAAGATTTAGGAAGGTTGCATATTTTGGAGATCTCTTCCTAAGTTCACCATAGAGTCCTTCATATAGTTTTGGGAGAAATTAGCATCAGACATTTTGTTTATAAAGGATAGCGATGAAGGTTATATTAATCAGGCCAACAAGGAGTAGGACAGCAATAAAGGCTGTGTTGGTTATAAGAGTAGTAACAATAACAAGAGAATGTCGTAATGAAAGCCTCTTGTTCCTCTCCACTTCCTTCTCTTTAGTCTCTAAACGAGAACGGCAATGAAGGCAAGTGGTGAAACTCACGGATTATCTCTTTAGTTTTTCATAACATGCAAAATTCAAAGAAGTAGAGAGGAAAAATGCTTAATTTTATTGCTTAAACATGTCCCTATTTATAGATCTATACAATATATCTTAATAAAAAAATAAATAATTACAAAATCATACATAATTTATCCAATATAATCCTTACTAAATCAGCCACATAAATATGGAAGGAGATCAGCGCAATCTAGGTGAGCCTCTCACGGATCCCCATCCTAGCCGAGGGATCAAAATGCCAAGGGACGGTTCGGATTTAACCAAAACAAGGAGACAAATTTTTATCTGTAGTAAAGAGGAGAAAAAGAGGAGAAAATATTAAAGAGAAGTCCTAAACAGTATAAAAAAGCGCTAAATTCAGACACTCACGAAAAATTCCTATAATCTTTATGATTCTACTCAAACTGCTCATTATGGGTTCACGCAATAACGTTGAGAGGTTAACCACAAATCATCCAAATAATTAGCATGTAGTGTAACTATTTTTTTGAAATTTGGTACAGTCTAGTTTTCAATTGAGGCATACAGTCAATTAAACATGTGATCTTTATGCTTTAATTGAAATGCAGTCGTTATTTTTTTATTTTTATTTGTTTAATATAATATGCATTCGTTCAAATCAATGATCAGCCCTTTCAATCAACAAGAACTTAATTATTTTTAAGTAAATTCTAATTTGTAAAAGCTCATAGATATTTAAGTACTAACCAAAATCAAAAGAGAAGCAAGATCCCCAGAATGCAACTACCAAGATTACTGACACAAGAACACCTGAGAAAACTCAGTAACTGAAGCAAGTTCCAAGATCTAGGTATATGGTAGCAGAAAACAGAAACTTAGATAATAATATGAAGAATCTTGGCTGAGAAACCTCTGAAACACTTAGCCATCTGATCTTTTAATTCAATAGCTACTTTATTATAATAATTAAGGCATACATCAATGGAAAAAAATTGTAGTGCATACTGGCAAACAATACTCGTCTATAGATGTCCAGGTGGGCATCAAAACACAGTAAGAAGTAGAAAAGGCCATAGCAAAAAAGTTTAAACAAAGACAGATATATTGTGTACCTATGGCATAAGGAAGGGCATTTATGGTTGTTGCAACGAAGCTTCCTCCCACAAATCTGACATAATGTTTTCATAATATCAAGTTCACAAAATGAAGAACATAAAGAAATGGATGTTTGAGACCATACCTCTTGGCATGGCGGACATTCTCCATCACAACAACGATGCTTGCATGCATGGCGGCCACAATCTCGCATTCTTAAGCATTTCCTTTCGCAGGTTAACTCTTGATAGCAAGGAACCTATAATAGAATGTGAAGTAACTTCAGATGACAACTAGTGGTTAGATGCTCTACTCTGCACTATTCAGTGTCATACTAACTAAAAATCATTAAAAAAATAATAATAAAATTAAAATTTCTTAAACTTCAACAAACAAAATAACAACTTTGATGCAGAAAGATTATAATATAACTATCAGTCGGGGCTATTTATAGAGAAATATATACAACTTGGTTAAAAAGCATGACTTTCTTCTGTAATTATACACAGTTTCAAAGGCCCATGCAAAGATGCACAAAATGTAACATCAAAGTAAAATAGGAGATGCAACCTTTTCATGTCAAAGAAATGAAACCACCTCACGGTGGGATACATGATACCAATAAGAAATATTTGGATATTTTAAAAGTAAGAAACCCTGCCAAATTTGTTTACAGACAAAACAATTTGATGCTGCATGTTATATATCTTCTTTGTCCATCATGTAAGGGCTGGGGACACAATGAATCCATCGAAACAAATCAGGAGGTGATAAGAACTAGAGAAGACGATATGCTTACTTATTTGCCCATGAACAACATTGAATTTCAGTTTTTTTTTAAAAAAAGTATTCCACTAAGAAATAAGTAAAACTGTCAATGTCACAAACTATTTGGTTTCTTGTATTTTTTATTATCACTTTTTTAGGAGTTTGATAGCATATTTATATAATATATTTTTCAGAGGACGGATGATAATAGCCATTAAATTCATTATTGATTTATCCAAACCACACGGTGAAACCTACATGCTTCATGCACATTTGTAATAGAAAAGGATACCAATGAGAGACAGTTACACTCAAAGGGAGATTGCAACAAAGAAAGGGAAAGATGTGGAGACGGGAGAAATCTAACTTCTATTCAAATGTTTCGTATGCTAGCATAGATTATGATCTATTCATCAAGCAACTAGCAAAATTTAGTTTAATATATAAAATTTATATTCCAACGACAATTTGCAACAGAGAGAGCATAATAGCCTCGCAAAGCAATAAAACATGGAGTACAGAGATCTTCTAAAAGGCGTCTAGCTGGCTAGCTCGAAAATAAGAAAAGAAAAGGGGCACATAATCGTGGAGCAAGAGAATAACAATCCCATTTTCAGATTATAATAACATACATAACGCAGTAACAAAATACATTTGAAAAATTGTACTGCAGAACAAATGTATGTGTATATTAGGAAACGAAATTGTAACCAAACCTCCTTCCTCAAGCTCCCACACCGGCAAGCCTTAAAAACAACAATCCTGCATGTCTCCACGCAAATCCCACGGTGGCACCTTTCTGGGCACCTATGAAGGCCGCAGCTCAGCATCTTCTCACATGTCAAACCGCAAGTTGGCACATCCTCATCACACGAAGCACCCTTGTACTCCTTCTTTCCACAAGGACAAGTCCTCCTACCTTGCAGAGGACAAGCCCCGCATGGTCCAGAATGGCAACCACGGCTGCACTTGTGCTTCCCGCACTTAAGAATCCCATCGCATGGCCTATCACATCGGAAGTCACTTTCGGCGCAAACTCTCTCTTCCTCTGTCTTCCCACAAGCGCACTTGTAAAAGGCCTTCACCTGGCAAGGAGGGCAGCGACCATCATGGCAGCGCTCGGTACAGCTGTGGAGGCGGCATGGCAAAAACGTAGGGCATGACTGATTGCATGAGAAGTGCTTCTGCGCACAACGGCGGGCATCTTTACGAGAGCCGCAGAAGCAGCGAGCAGTGATGAGCTTAGGGCACGGTGGGCAAACGCCAGGGTGGCAAAGGAGGAGGCATTTATGGCCGCAGTTTCCGCGCAGAGGGCGGCCGCAGACCTCGCCACACGAGTGGGGGAGGATCCATGGATCGGAGGGCGGGTCCTCTACTTTGCCGCAGAAACAGCGATAGGACCGGGGAATCTTGTCTCGGGCATACAGGTCACGGCATTTGGGACAATGCCAGTCTGGGGTGGAGTGGAGGGACGAAGAAGAGGAGTGGCGGTAGGAGCATTGATTAGCCCAGTTCTGGATGCACGGAAGGTGAAAGAGGGCGTGGCAGCCGGAGGAACAGGACCAGATGGGGTCGGAGGGGCGTATGCGCTCCAAGCAAATGAGGCAAGAGACAAAGTGACCTCCGCGGCCGGCGGCAGCAGAGAGAAATGATCGGATCTTTATCAGATCATGGGAGGGAGAATGGCCGCCACAGATCTGGAGATAGGCAGCAAAAATAGAGTCCTCCAGGGCAGATGCCCCCGAAATCCCGGCTGCTTCATCGCCGCTGCTGCTGCTTCCGGTATCTGAGTCAGAGACGGAGGGGGCTGGGTTTGCCGACGACGGCGATAGAACGGAGGCGGCGGCAGTGGCCATTCAAATGGAGGACTATCTCAGTTCACCACAAGGCACAATCACGGTCGTAAGAGGCAATAGTTGCCCAGCTATTCGCCAAATTCCCCTCCACCTCGTCCTTTCCTCGTCCTTATTTTGGTGAATTTCTTTTTTGCACTTTGCGGAGTCTGGAAGTAGCTTTGTGATGGAAAAATTTATTATGCGTGGAATTCGATTACATAGATGTGTTTGGTTGTTTATGTGGAAAGGGTTAAAAAATTAATTTTTTTTTTTTTTTGGACATTTAGGCCATTTAAGGCAAACTCACACACACAACGCATACACATAGACTCGAACCCTGAACCTCTTAGTTGGAAACCAAAGCTCTCAACCAATAGGCCAAGGAGAGTAGTGTGTTAAAAAAATTAATTGACTTGTGTAAACCTCCTAAATCTGACCCGTCTTTCAGCCCGACCCGGGAGATAACGTTAAATTTAGTTTGGCGCTTATTTTTTCAGAATTTAAGGCGCGAGTCACCGCAATATATAACGCTTAGAGTCAAAATTTTCGCTGAGCAGCCAAAATTTTCGCAGAAAAAATGCCAATGAAGATGGAGATTGATCTGGATCTGGAGGAGGATGTTGGTTTTTATGAGCAGACAATATTTTCGCAGGTCTCGGAGGAAGTCGAAAATCTGAAGAATGCCGACGTCCAAGAAACAAGTGCACAAGAAGCAGAACACGTAGAACCAGTGCGACTGGACGAAAAGTTCAGCTTATCGGTAAACTTCGCCTTCTTCCAAGTTTTCTTTATAGCAATGTTGCAATCAAATTTCTTTACATTGTCATTTTTTTGATGTAATTATTTTAGGGTACAAATATTTTAGATGTTCCTTTCTTGATGTAATTATTATCAACAATGTACATAATGTTAAATTGTAATTGATTTTAAAAGAAGACTCGATGTTCCCTTTTTTTATAATATTATTGAGCTAGGGTACAATAACGAATTTGTAGTTCGATTTTCTTATTGCAAAGCTTTGTTGCGTATTAATTGTGTATGTATTGCTTATCTGTGTGATATACATTGAGTATTATGTGCGTATTGAATTGGTATACATTGCGTATTAAGTGCGCATATGTTGGGTTTTTATTGCATATTGGTTGCGTATTGGTTGTGTATTGCTTTGCTTAATTACTGCTTATTGGTTTCGTATTGGATAATTCATTTATTGCTTATTTATCAGGATATTTATGTTAATGAGAAAGAGGCATACGAGGCTTATCGTAAGTATGGATATAATCTTGATTTTAGTGTTCGTAAGGATCATCACATTTACTGGCCAAATTCCATAAATTTAAAATCCAAGGACTTTGTTTGTTCAAAAGTTGGTTTCAGGAAGTTGACTGATCTTAATATCCAAAGGAAATATCGAAGATCAGATACCCGAACTGGTTGTCCAGCTATGATTAGGTTTACAGTGGATGAAGGTGGAAAAAATTTATTGAAAATCACAATCATGATTTGCCTAGGCCAGAAGACCAGCATCTTCTTAGATCATGCAGGAATATGTGTGATGAAAAAGCTTCTATTCTTAAAGCAATGACAGATGCTGGGATAAGAACCATTGATGCATTTTCCTTCCTTGCTGATGAAGTTGGAGGTGTCGAAAATATTGGATTCACAAGGAGGGATGCGTACAACTTTATTCAAAAAATAAAAAGAGCAAAGATTGAACTTGGGGACACTAATACTTTGATTGAGTTATTTAAAGAACGTCAACTTAATAATAACATGTTCTCTGGGATGTCCAAAAGGATGAATTTGATAGATTGTTAAATTTTTTTTGGTGGTTGATGGGATTGGTAAGATAGATTATGACTGCTTTTGTGATTGGTAATTTTTTGATACAAGTTGTAGGCTTAATAAGTATAATTTGGTATGCGCACATTTGTTGGGGTTAAAATCATTTGAAAACATTTTGCTTGGGGTGACCTTCTTGTCCGAGACAATTGATTCATTTACGTGGGTTTTACAACTTTTTGTTCTAATGATGGGTGATAAACAACCAATAACAATATTTACAGATCAAGACCAGGCAATGGCTAGGGCCATAGAAGTTGCACTACCTCAAAGTCGCATAGACTGTGCAATGGCATAACCGTAAAAGGCTCCATCAAAAGTATCGTGCTTACATACCAACACAAAGTCAAAGGACTCTTCAATAAGGTTTGAGATATGTGACTCTGAGGAGGAGTTTGAGAATGCATGGGCTGAATTAATCATACAAGGGAACCTCCAAGATCATGTTTGGTTGCAGGATCTTTTATAGGATAAGAAATTAAGTGTCAACAGCCTTCAATAAGATTGTTTTAGCATGACATTCTATCCACACAACGTAGCGAGTCTACTAATAATGTGTGCATGGCATTTCTAAAAGTTTATAACTGATTGCTTCTGGGTTTTAGAGAAGGTGATGAGGATTGGCGCACGGAATGAAGATGAGGATTATAGATGCAGTCAGTCTAAATAGAACCTGTAATAAAAAACTGCTCATATTAAGCAAGTGCCTCAATTTATCAAAGAAAATATATTCATTTTTTGAACAAGATTTTTACAAGGTGTTGGTGATAATGAGTGTAGAGCTTAAGTCTAGTGATTCTTCTAAATTTTTTGTCTATTACACAGAGAAAAAGGATCACTCTAAACATGGGTTGTTGATTTTGATGCACAAAATGGTAACATCCAATGCTCCTGCATAAAGTTTGAAACGATGGGTTTATTGTGTTCTCACTGCATAATAGTTTTGAGGCAAATGGACTATTTGGAAAAATCCCCGAGAAGTACCTACTATTGCGATGGTCATCACAAGCTCGAAAAATATAAATTATGTCTAAATTTGAAAGAAAATTTTCAAATAGCTTTGAAGCTAGTAGCGGATTCATTTTCAGAAATTATATCAGCAGGTTTGCATATGAAATGAGCAACGAGCGCAGCTGAATGAGGGGTGGTGAAGAATTCCTAATGGCTGCAAATGAAGGATACATCTGAAAAACTATTTGGTTATTTTTTGGGAAGAGAAAGACATACAAGTCTACACAGCGGGTGGCAGTGTACAATTGAAAGACCCTCTAAAGCGTAGGCCTAAAGGCATATACAATGCTAGGCTGAAAAGCCATTGGGAAAAGAAGACAAAGAGTATGATTTTATTTTCTGCCTAATTTGATTTATTGCCTATTGAACTATTGTTATAATTTTTTTAACAGGGAAACAACCAGTGAAGAAATACACAATAAAAATTGTGACTCCTTCAAGCATGCCCGAATGCTTAACGGAGGATTTCATAAATTCTGTACACTCCAAGCAACCATCAGCTCAGTGTGTAATTTCACAAGCATGCCCGAATTGCTTCACTGAGGACTTCATAAAATGTGTACATTCCAGTCAGCCATCTTCCAGCTAAGCAGTACAATTTCTCAAGAATGCCCGAATGCTTTACGGAGGACTTCATATCACAAGCATGCCCGTCTAGTCAGGCATCAGTACAGCAGTTCACAAGCATGCCTGAGTGCATGACAGACAATTTCATAGCTGGAGAACCGTCCAGTCAACCAGCAGTAAAGCGAGCAAAGCATTCTAATTTCATAAGCATACCCAAATGCTTCACTCAGGAACACATAAAAAGGTGTACGTTCAAAAAAGCCATCAGCAACATACCTGAAGTTGATGATGAATATCATTAAATCAGAAAATTCTATGTTATAAGAATATTTGTATGATGGATATTTGTAAGAATATTTGTTGATAAGATATTTATTTAATAAACAATATTTATTTTAGTAGTTAATTTTGATTTGCGTATTGCCTGCGTATACAGAGCGTATACAGCGCATACTCTATCCGTATATAGTGCGTAATTTGCATACCCACATGAAAACCTTCTTAATCGAATGGAATGAAGGTTCGATGGTGAGAAACCCTATATCCAACGTTCCCTGATTGTTGTATTAATGAGGGGAAGCATTCCAAAAAACTTTGGTTCTCCATATACACTAATGAATGCTCAACCATTGAAGCATAACACCCACACTCTAAAACCATCACTTATGTAGCACAAGGGTGAAAACAAACACTAACTCTCTTTGAGAAAATTTTTATAATCATTTTATAAAGATGGTAAAATGAGTATTTAAAAGATTCATGACGAAGGAATGCATCGAATCAATTAAATTCAAATTAATTAAATTTTTGTGAGAAAAAACTAAGAACTGTCATTTGCGTATGATGTGCGTGTGGTCTGCGTCCGAAACGTGTACTCATGCGTATATAGTGCGCACTTTGCATACCAATATGAAAACCTTCTTAATCGAATGGAATGAAGGTTCAATGGTGAGAAACACTATATCCAACGCTCCTTGATTGTTGTATTGACGAGGCGAAGCATTCCAAAAATCTTTGATTCTCCATGTACTCTAATCAATGCTCAACCATTAAAGCATAACACCCACACTCTAGAATCATCACTTATGTAGCACAAGGGTGAAAACAAAAACTAACTCTCTTTGAGAAAATTTTTATAATCATTTTATAAAGATAGTAAAATGAGTATTTAAAAGATTCATGATGAAGGAATGCATCGAATCAATTAAATTTGAATTAATTAAATTTTTGTGAGAAAAAATCAAGAACTGTCATTTGCGTATGATGTGCGTGTGGTCTGCATCTGAAATGCGTACTCCAAGCATATATAGTGCGTACTTCACAAACCCACATGAAAACCTTCTTAATCGAATGGAATAAAGGTTCAATGGTGAGAAATCCTATATCCAACGCTCCCTGATTGTTGTATTGACGAGGCGAGGTATTCCAAAAAACTTTGGTTCTCCATATACACTAATGAATGCTCAACCATTGAAGCATAACACCCACACTCTAGAACCATCACTTGTGTAGCACAAGGGTGAAAACAAACACTAACTCTCTTTGAGAAAATTTTTATAATCCTTTTATAAAGATGGTAAAATGAGTATTTAAAAGATTCACGACTCTCTTTGGCAGTTTCTTCTTGAGGAGCTTCTTTGGAAGGTTCTTCTTGGGGGGGGAAGCTTCTTTGGCAGGTTCTTCTTGGGGGGGAGCTTCTTTTGCAGGTTCTTGTTGGGGAACTTCTTTGGTAGGTTCTTCTGGGGGTGCTTCTTT